ATGACATGTCACCCCAGTATGGTAGGTACGCCTGAAAGCCTTAAGAGGTGTCCATACGAGGGCGAATCCAGTAACTAGGGGGTGCTTAGTCACTTGACTAAGCCCCTCCCAGCCCTTAGACTTGGACACACCAATCTGACGGTTAAAAAGTGGGAAGGGTTTTTTAATTATTGACAGGGGTAGTTTGGGTATTATGAAAAATTACAAAGTATACAAACCGGACTTACAAACAGTACCAACCATACAAACTTACAAACAGTACAAAATATAACAACAAAACAAACAATACAAAATATACGAACTATACAAACAATACAAAGTAGACCGACAAGCAATACAAAGCATAAAACATAAAAAATAAAAACATGTTGACTTTTGAGGCTCCATCCCTATATAGAGGAGCACCATCCCAAAGTCAACCCGGTTGTTTTTTAGACTTACAAACATTACAAACATAGTGGACAAAAATTACTAAGTAGACCGATAAACCATACAAAATGGAAAAACACCCGGGTTGACTTTGGAGACTTCATCTCTATATAGAAGAGTTTTGTCCAAAAGTCAACCAAGTTGTTTTTTAGAAATAAAAAAACGTTACAAACATGGTTGACAAAAATGACAAACATGTTGGACAAAAATAACAAAGCTTATAAACATTACAAAAGAAACCAACAAACATTACAAAGCTTACAAACATTACAGAATAAACTGACAAACATTACAAAATAACACTATTTACAATACAAATCAATAAAATTGTACTACAAATTAATGAATACAAAGTATACAAATCATAACATAAAAATGTACAAACCAGACAAACAAACATTACAAATCACAATATATACAAAATAGTAATATAAACATTAACAAACATGAAAAACAAGAATCATAACAATACAAACCGAATTTACATAAACATTACAGACAGGACTTATAAATATTAGAAAATAGAGCGGCAAACATCACAATTAGCACTGTTACTGATAGACCATTGATAACACATGTTTTTACCCCTATTCTTGAGCCATTTGAGATGTTGATCCTCGTGTTTTAAGCCGATTTCACGCTAGGTTGTGCGTTTATGTCATATTTCAGGACTTAGTGTTGGCATCGAGGCGAAGAAACGAGTTTTGGGTCGAAAGGAACACGTTTGGGTTGAAGTGTGCTAGAGGAGCAAAATACCCGGCCATGAGCATAAATACCCGGCCGGGTACTAATTGGAGCAGACCGGGGAATTCATGTTTCGGGCGTTTGAGAAGCAGAAGGGGGCCCGGGCAGTAATCTTAAATCCCCGGTCGGGTATTCTTGGCCCAGGTCGGGGATTAACCCCTGTTCCCCGACGGTGCGTTTTGAAGATACCCGGTCTCCACCCAAAATACCCGACCAAGTATTCAGACCGGGGATCGCGGCAGACAGCTTCTTAAGGGAAAAGAAGGGCAAAAGTGAAGGGTTCCGAGTTTTAGAGAGAAAAAGCGTATACCTAGAGAGAGAAAGTGACAAACCTAATTCTGCAAGTGTCTTTGATCGATCTCCATCACCATTAGAGCCCGGCTTGAGCTTGGAGAAGAGATGATTGAGTGCCAGAAGCAGATTCTCATCCTTCACATTATGGTTTCCGCATCTGAGCTAGATTTCCCATCTCTCTCTATGGAGTAACTTTCTTATTCACCTGGGTATGAAGAACCCTAGATTTGTATGTTAGGTCTGATTGTATGAACTCAAGTATAGATTCAGTGATATGATTATGTTCAATTGAGGTTTGATTTGTTGAATGGCATGAATACTGATCAAATTCCTGTTAATTCTGCTTTGACCTAGAAAGCGAATATCAGCCTAGGTTGATAGAGCGTCCTTGATTGAAGGTAGTGAATTGACGACTTTAGTCGAGGAGTCAATTCACTATTATGTACCGGATTTACTTGGGTAGTGGAGGTTTGGTTCGTTAGGGCCTCAATCTGTTTACTCCGGTGGAGGTTAGTCGCCCGCTGGGGACTCAGATTGAGAGGGTCTGGAGACCTTTAGTCGAGACTGCAGACTGTTTAAGAACCTCCCGAAGTATAACTATCATTGGAATTGAACTTGGTAAATTACAATCTGGCTTAACTGCAGTCTAGGGGGAACTATATCCGGGTGACCTTTCTCGACTTGAAAACAACCTTTTTACTTGCTTTGCTTGTTTGCTTGTTTGGATCTTCACTACACTTTCACTGCTAAATAATAAGAACTCACGGAGTAGTCATCACACTTAGGACCCGGGTTGACATTAAAACCCAAACCCACTATACTACGCTTTAGGAGGTGGTTACTTGGCCATTTTCTAGAGTGATGGTAGGAGCGAGTCAAGTTTTTGGCGTCGTTGCTGGGGACGGCTAGGTTGTTGAAGAAACGTGGTTTCTGTTAATTTAGCTTTTCTTTTTAGCATTGTTTGCTTTGTCACACTTGTGTCTTCACATGTTTGTTGCTTGACTGTGTGCAGGTAGTGCATGACCCGTAGCCAGTCATGAGGTTTACTGTCGTTGGATCCGGAGCTTGAACGCACCTGTCGCCAACTTAGGAGACAACAGCGAGCTAGACTGGCTACGGAGGAGCGAATAGACGCCCATTTGAGCAGCGATTTCGAGGACGAGTACGAGATGGAAGGCGAACATAACCCGCCCCAGGGGATACCTCTCCAGGTTCCCCCGTTCCCCCGGTGAATCAGATCTTGGGGAACAACCCCATACCCCAGGTAGATGGGGTTCAGCATCAACCACCACCGCCGTCGGGTCCCACCCTGGAGTATTTCAACACTCCACGCGTCGCTGATATCTGCCCTGTCATCCTCTATCCACCCATCCCAACGAACAACTTCGAGATCAAGCCATGCTGGATTCAACTCATTACATCCTCTATCCAGTTTCATGGCTCGAAGGATGAGGAGGCAAGGGGTGCATCTTTCCCGTTTCCTGCAGCTGACGAACGGGTTCAAGATGAACGGTGTACCCGATGATGTGATCCGCCTTCACCTCTTCCCCCATTCTTTGGCGGGGCATGCAAAGAGGTGGCTAGAGACCCAGCCCCCATTGTCCTTCACTTCTTGGGACGATCTGGCCGACAAGTTCGTGCAGAGGTACTATCCAGCATCGAAGACCACAGAAATCCAGCGGGAGATCACTCACTTCCGCCAAGAGTCAGTTGTGTCACTTTGTGATGCATGGGAGCGGTACTCGGGGTTTTTCTGGCAGTGCCCTCATCATGGGTTCATCTATGCATTCACTGTGGGGAACTTCTACAGTGCTCTCTCTCCGGAAAGTCAGAGGGTGATCGAGTCTCTATGCCCAGGAGGGGATATTCTCACTAAGACTCCACCCGAACTGAACCAAATGATCAGTACCTTGGCTGCCAGAGATCATTCCTAGGGGCAGAGCACTAGAGGCAGGAATTCCCGGGATCGAGGTGTGCACGCCATAGAGGCCAGGTCTGGGCTAGAGCGGGAGGTGGTCGAGTTAATGCAGACATTGAAGCAGCCCAACAGTCTTATTCCGGGCAAAGGTTTGGCTGTACCTCCAGTAGCTCAATCTCAGTGGTGTGAGAGCTCGAACCATCTGGTGGAAGACTGCTAGGCTATGCGGGAGTCTTCTACTCCCCAAGAGCAGTTGGACTTCATCGCCAATGCTCGGCGTCTTGACCCATACAGCAATACATAAAATGAGGGGTGGCGCCAGCATCCCAACTTCTCTTGGAATGGCAACACCACCAAACCACCTGGTTTCCCAGCACTAGCTTGTGGTTTTCAGCAGAGGCAGCCTTTCCAGGCCAGACAGGGGCTCGTTCCACAGCAGCAGCCTTACCAACCTAGGCGTGGGCAACCATTTCAGCAGCCCCAACGTCAGTATGTCGAGCCAGCAGCAGCTCCAGCTCCAGATAATCAGATGACCGAGCTGAAGAACATTTTGGCGTCATTCATGACTACCAGCCAAGTGAATTTTACCAGGATAGACCAAAGCATCGCCTCGCTGGAGGCGGGTCAGAGGAACCAAGGTGCCACAACGTGGAGGAATAACGCGTTGTTCTGACGCGTTATTCCTCCAAGTGGATTGGGGATGGTAGTGGCAGGTAGAATTCCCGGTGCCCAGGTATTGTTCCAGCATCAACTTGGAGGAATAACGCGTCAGAACAATACCTGGGCACCGGGAATTCTACCTGCCACTACCATCCCCAATCCACGGGATTCGCACCAGCAGCTGAATGCCATCACTACCAGGAGTGGTAAGACGACAGTTGCTGCCCCCACCCAGGCTAGGGAGGAAGAGCCACTGCCTACTTCAACACTTCCAGCTGACGATGCAGAAGTGGGGATGGAGAAGGAAGCACAGGTTCCCAAATCACAACCAGTGGTTAAGGAGCATGTACCCCAGCTTCCCTTCCCCACTCGACTACACAAAAATAAGCTGGAGACTGAGTTTGCCAAGTTCATGGCAATGTTGAAGCAGCTCAACATCAACATACCATTCATGGAGGCATTGTCAAAGATGCCCAAGTACGCCAAGTTCATGAAGGATTTCCTTGCCAATAAGAAGAAACTTGGGGATCTCTCGACAGTGATGCTGAGCGAGGAGTGTTCTGCCATCCTGCAGACAAGCTGTCCGAGAAGCGCAAAGATCTAGGGAGTTTTACTATCCCTCTTGTTATTGGCAGCATGCATGTAACATCCCTGCCCTCGTACAAATTATTATGACGTGTTTGTGATCGGGTTACAAAAATTGGTCTTTTGAACCAAAAAGAAAGTGAATAGTGAAAGTTTTAGACTTAATTGCTAGTGAAGGAAAGTTTAGGGCCAAATGGACAATTTGGAGGGCTGGAGAATTCTAGATAAGGGAGATAAAAATCTGCCCCATCCTCTTATCTCTCATTTTCTTCTCATCCCTTCCCCTCACTCTCTCCCACGTCCCTCTCTTGCTCTCTTTCTTCCACCTGGTTTCACCACCCCAAAAACCACCATCCTCTTTTCTGAAACAAGTAGTAGATAGATAGAGAGAAAGGATATCAAGGAAAGAAAGAAGAAGGGAAACAAGGGGTGCTGCCAATTTTCGTCCAGTAGCAGGACAGCTTGTGGGAAGGACGATTCTGGACACTTGAGCCGTTGGATCGTTCTGATATTTGACGGTTTTGTTCCATATGTCCTTTTCTACGATTTGACTGTTCGGATCATTGTTATAATCTCTGGTTCATCTAGGAATGTCGCTGGACAGAAGGGGTGCGACATTGCTTTCCTATAGCAGGACATCAGATTAGAGGTAAGATCTTGTACGAAGTAGCCGTTGGATCTTTCTAGAAATTTGGTATAATGTTAAGTATATAAGTTTATTTGAGTTGACCGTTCGGAACTTAGTTTTGATTTCGGGGTGGTCAGGAACAATTGTTAGAACTAGGGGAGTTGGATTGAAGTGAGAATAAAGTAGCTGACAGTTTCGAAATGTCAATTTAAAATGATTTCTGGGCTCAAAATACTGATCCAAATGGTCTTAAATTTGGATATGTTGTAGCCCTATGAATTTAATTTCAGTATCAACAAGAATCAACTGATTTGGTTAAGTATCAAGGGAGAAATGACCGAAATGATGAAGCCGGGTAAAGTGTACGGTCGTATGACTTCCCTAGTGGCCTTATCGACATGCATGAACAAAACCATGATTTTGATGACTGTATACATATCTTGGTGCTTGAATAACTTGGAAATCTTGTATATAAAGGTAAGGAGCAAGCCGGGGGCTCATCCAAAGGCAAGGGTATAGCCGAGTGAAGATAAAACTGTGAGTAGATTCTAATCTTAAATCTACTTCAACATAATAACAGTATTCGGGTCATGAAGCGGCCCGAATACATATCGGGGTCATGAAGCGGCTCCGGTATAATATGTGAATTCATGGGAAATTATATGGCTAGGTGATATGGCTTATTGGTGTTTATTCCTTATTTGCATTTGGTATGAAGTTGGAGATGCATGAATTGTGGAAGGGATATGGAAGGACATTTTGTTAATTTATTGTGTGGGTTATGAGTAAGTAGTCGAGCTTGCGAACTCGTCCTGTCTACTTAGATTTGGAGTAAGCCATTAGGCTTACTAATCCTGTTTTGCTTGAATAACTCGGAGTAAGCTCCTCAGTGTACATTTCATTCTGCTATGACCGAGGGTGCAAAAGCACTATGAATGCTTCTAAGCCTATAGTGTATAAGTGAGCCTACGGGTTAATGATTATTGACAGGTGTCTAAGTGAACTATTAATGAAAAGAGGTGAATACATAAGAATAGGAAAAAGGGCTTCGTGATGCCTCGGTACAGTAGTGTGTCCTGTTTGTATCGATAGGGGTAAATCCCACGATACTCCTGTTTGAGCGCTCGTGCTCCGCACCGTGCCGATTGGGTGACGACCCACGGTACTCATGTTCTGTTAAGTTAGCCGGGCTGGGGTAATCCCGTGGCGACTCCTGTTTTCTATCGGTCCGGGTTGCGTCCCGCGATACTCCTGTTAGTGCGAGCACTCCTGTTTCGTGCCTTGTGCACTCCTATTTATAACGGACTGGGTTTTGTCCCGCGGTACTCCAGTTATCTGATTGCTGTACATGATTACCCTGCAGCCTTCCACTACTGTACCACCCGGGGAGGATATCATTTAGCAAATTTGAAAGTGAAATTGTATAAGTAAAATGTCTCTGCCTGTCATATGTTGTATGTGTTTTGACTGTGATGGGATGTGAATATGTGAACTTTATTGATTCAGTGGAATGAAAAGTGGGATAAACAACTTAAGTCATGTTATGTGCTAGGGTGTTTCTGCCCGATATTGTTTTTGTATTGATGTCGATCTGAGCTTAGAATTTATTCACTGAGCGATAACTCATCCTCCGTCACCATTTTTCCTCAGATCAAGAGCAGAAGTAAGGCGTGTACTGTAGATATCGGGACTCAAGCTTGAAGGGAAGCCATGAGGTGGGCAGAGGACTCCGAACTCCTTGAATGTTTTATGTTGTGTGGATTTTGTAATAAAACAGACTTCCCCGGTTTTCTGTTTCGACTCTATTGAAAATGTAAATTATGGTTTGAAGTTCGAAAAAAAATACATATATAAAGCTCGGGCCCGAGAATGTTTAAACTCGATGTTTTTTTTACTATTTTGTTTTGTAATGTAAAGTATGGGTGTTTTTAACAATGCATGTAGGAAAGTCCTTGGCGGACCTAGGCGCTAGCATAAATGTCATGTCCTACAAATTGTTTAAAAAGCTAGACCTAGGTGAACCTAGAGCTACTAGGATGAGCATTCAGTTAGCTGATCGCTCCATTGTGCATCCTAGGGGTATCATAGAGGATCAGCTTGTTAAAGTAGGTGCATTCACATATCCTGTTGATTTTGTTATTCTGGATATAAATGAGGATGTGGATGTGCCTTTGATTTTGGGTAGACCATTTCTCGCCACCGCCAAGGCACTTATTGATGTGCATAGTGGTAAACTGATCTTGCATGCTGGGAATGAACATGCTACTTTTTCTGTGTCTGAATTAGATCATTGTGATATGCCTGCTGTCACACCTATGCATGCTATTTCTCACCAGGTTCACGAGCCTGTCGTGTATCCCTCTGTGCCTCTCGTTTTGCAGGATCCCCCTCTCACGCCTTCGCCGCCACCCCCTTCAACCTCATCGCCAAACAAAAAGATCAAAGAGGAGTGGCGGCCGAAGCAGCAGGTAGCTAAGCCTGCTCGAAAGAAAGGTGGAGACCACTATGAGCTGGTCCCACCTCCTGCACCAAGACCACCTTGTCCATTCGAGTACTCACTCGCTTGCATCCTGCCGGATGGCCAGGTCGAGCTGACAAATGCTGGTGGTTGCACCCGTCGGGTGCATGGCCACCATCTAAAGTTATACCTCAAGAGCAATGTGGATCCGCTCTTGGAGGCACATGTTCCTGCACGCCTCTAAGTATCCACCATGGGCGTCCAGCTAAAAGACGGTAAAGAAGCGCGGGTGGGGAGGCAACCCCACCACGATTTGCATTTCTTTTCCCTTTTTCGGTGTTTTTTGTGTCGGGTCTTGTGTTTTGGTTTCTTTTCTTTTCTTTTGGATGATGTACTATTGGGCTGACCATTGGACCTAACGTATTGTGTTTGAGTTCTTTTGTTCCCTTTAGCTGTGCTTTGTCCTGACTGGTCCCCTCTCTAGTCCGCTTCACTCAGACTGGTCCCCTTCCAGTCTCATGCAGTCCGTGCACACCGGTAACATCGTTCCCCTTATCCTTCCCTCTTCTCCATTGAGGGCAATGTCGATCTTAAGTGTGGGGGGATGTTTCTCTTTTGACTGCATTAGATCTGTTTGTGTGCTTGGAGCCTAGTCCACTGTCCAAATTTCTATTTGAGGGCTCCAATCACGTGTTTCCTTGCAAATTGCCTGCTCAGTATGCTTTGAGTTGACAGTCTCTATAGTAATGTGCAACCTAGGGAGGTAGTGTAGCACTATGGAGGATGTTGAAGTATAAGATTTTTCCTATCTAGCTCTCTGCTGTGCCAGTTGATTTTGTGAATTAGTGGAGCTAAGATCGTTGAATTCATGTGGTAATGGTGACTCTGTTTGGATTGTGTTATGGACTCGTGTATCGAACAGGGTGCTCATGTGGAAAATGGAAAGCAGTTGGTCCTCCATGTCAAAATCATTGAAATCTTAAACATGGGGTAAGCCCAACGTGTGTGGCACCATTCATTGCACAAAATCGGGTTTTGGAAGGGATTTTAGTGATCCTTAGTGGGGTACTCCTACAAGGTGAAGCTAAGTTGTCTCTAGTACAAGTAAAACTTCCACCCGTTGAATGGTTTGCCTACTTGAGGATGTGTTTTTAAGGGCACGGATAGAGCTTCCGACCCCCCTTAACTTCATTGACCCTCCACACGAGTCGAGGAAAAGGAGTTAAAAGAAGTACTCTGGCGAGCGCCAGATGTACAAAAATTACTCTTGCTCTACTAATAAGGGTCGACCGTGCAAAAGACTGCAGCTGGAACCCCCGCTAAGTGAATGAAAAAAAAACAAGAGAAATGTAAATGAAAGGTTCAAAAAAGGGGTTCCAACGGTGAAATGAAGTGAAAGAGCACCCCGTTTGAGATGTTGATCCTCGTGTTTTAAGCCGATTTCATGCTAGGTTGTGCATTTATGTCATATTTCAGGACTTAGCATTGGCATCGAGGTGAAGAAACGAGTTTCGGGTCGAAAGGAGCACGTTTGGGTTGAAGTGTGTTGGAGGAGCAAAATACCCGACCATGAGCAGAAATACCCGGCCGGGTATTAATTGGAGCAGACCGGGGAATTCATGTTTCGGGCGTTTGAGAAGCAGAAGGGGGACCGGGCAGTAATCATAAATTCCCGGTCGGGTATTCATGCCCCAGGCCGGGGATTAACCCCTATTCCCCAACGGTGCGTTTTGAAGATACCCGGTCTCCACCCAAAATACCCAACCAGACAGCTTCTTAAGGGAAAAGAAGGGCAAAAGTGAAGGGTTCCGAGTTTTAGAGAGAAAAAGCATATACTTAGAGAGAGAAAGTGACGAACCTGATTCTGCAAGTGTCTTTGATCGATCTCCATCACCATTGGAGCCCGGCTTGAGCTTGGAGAAGAGATGATTGAGTGCCAGAAGCAGATTCTCATCCTTCACATTATGGTTTCCGCATCTGAGCTAGATTTCCCATCTCTCTCTATGGAGTAACTTTCTTATTCACCTGGGTATGAAGAATCCTAGATTTGTATGTTAGGTCTGATTGTATGAACCCAAGTACAGATTCAGTGATATGATTATGTTCAATTGAGGTTTGATTTGTTGAATGGCATGAATCCTGATCAAATTCCTGTTATTTCTGCTTTGACCTAGAAAGAGAATATCTGCCTAGGTTGATAGAGCGTCCTTGATTGAAGGTAGTGAATTGACGACTTTAGTCTAGGAGTCAATTCACTATTCTGTACCAGATTTACTTGGGTGGTGGAGGTTTGGTTCGTTAGGGCTTCAATCTGTTTACTCCGGTGGAGGTTAGTCGCCCGCTGGGAACTCAGATTGAGAGGGTCTGGAGACCTTTAGTCGAGACTGCAGACTGTTTAAGAACCTCCAGCAGTATAACTATCATTGGAATTGAACTTGGTAAATTACAATCCGACTTAACTACAGTCTAGGGGGAACCATATCCGGGTGACCTCTCTCGACTTGAAAACAACCTTTTTACTTGCTTTGCTTGTTTGGATCTTCACTACACTTTCACTGCTAAATAATAAGAACTCACGGAGTAGTCATCACACTTAGGACCCGGGTTGACATTAAAACCCAAACCTGCTATACTACGCTTTAGGAGGTGGTTACACTTGGCCATTTTCTAGAGTGACGGTAGGAGCGAGTCAGTTACCGAAAATCCTCCTTCGCAGTCTCCGATCGCCGGAAAGCCTCCTCCCATCGCCAAAAAGCCACCTTCGATCAATGGGGAAATCTCTCTCTCTCTCTCTCTCTCTCTCTCTCTCTCTCTCTCTCTCCTACGTGGCTGAAGTGGGGAAATAATTGCAAATGCTCCCAGAAAAGAAAAGGCAAAGCTAGCGAGCACCGAAAAGCGACAGACGGAAAAGTCTGGTCGGAAGTGCCGGAAAATTGCCTGGCAGGAAGGGGACGGTCTAACGTTTTTTTTTATCAAGTTGACGAACTGCAGTTGGAGGTTTTTTATTTATTATATAATAATTATAAATTATAAATTATAAATTATAAATTATCTTGTAATTACTATATTGCCCATCATAAAATTATATTAATTGGAGTCATTAGATTGTAATGAGTTTGAAGAGGTGAGATCCACTTAGTCAAGACCTTACCCTGTGTCCATATTCCACAATAACCGAACTCTTTGAAACGGTGAACAGTGGGAAACCCTTGGGGCGGATGGCGCAGGATTTGCATCCACGTTAGAGTTGGGCCCAGCAGGCCTTCAGCTATTCTAGTTTCGAGAACTGGGGTGGGGGGGATAAAGTTCTCAGCCAGCCCAGTGAACCCGAAGGCCCAAAAAGAAAAAGAAGCTTCTTCTTCTTCGTCAGTTTTGCGCGTTTCTTTGTTTTCTTCCCCGGTGACGATTTCCTCAACTATCCGTGTTGCTTGCTGGATTTCGCAAATCGTTTGATTTTTGTTTCAGCAAGCCAGTCGACTCGAAACCAGTTTCTGAAACGGGAGAAAGAGAGAAGAAATGGCGACGTTGATGCTGGTCAACTGTTCCAATTGCCGGACGCCGTTGCAGCTCCCGCCCGGCGCTCGATCCATCCGTTGTGCGCTCTGCCATGCCGTAACAAACGTCGCCGATCCGCGCTCTGTTCCTCCGCCTTCTTCTGCGCCTCAACCTCATTCCTCCTCCGCTCCTCCACCTTCCAATCTTCCTTCTCCCTACCAACAACCTCCGCCGCCCAGTTCCCACGGCCGGAAGAGGGCCGTGATCTGCGGGATTTCCTATAGGTATTCCAGGCACGAGCTCAAAGGTTGCATCAACGACGCCAAGTGTATGCGTTACCTTCTCATCAATAAGTTCAGCTTCCCCCCTGATTCTATTCTTATGCTCACCGGTAATTGATTCAATTCCTCTCTCTCTTATATTTTTTTTGTCTTTCACCTTATCTGGATGATCTTGGTTCCTTTAAATGCTTCTTTCTGTTGCAAGTTACCATTTTTTAGAATTGCCCTTGCCTTTTGAACTGACTACTGCTTGCCTGTTTAATTTCATTTCTTCACGGTATTGAACTTGGATGGATGGTTGGGAAACTTAATAGGCCGAAAGAAAATACCCTGGGACTTTAATGTAGCTTTCAGATCTGGGACATCCCCACTTATGTTATCAACAGAGGTTACCAATTTTGTTTATCTTATGCGTTCTTGTGTTTCTAAAATGCAGAGGAGGAAACTGATCCTTACAGGATACCCACTAAACATAATCTTAGGATGGCGTTATATTGGCTTGTACAAGGTTGTCAGCCTGGAGACTCGCTGCTGTTCCACTATTCTGGTCATGGTTCCAGGCAACGGAACTACAACGGTGATGAAGTTGATGGATATGATGAAACCCTTTGTCCTTTGGATTTTGAAACTCAAGGCATGATTGTGGATGATGAAATTAATGCCACAATTGTGAGACCTCTCCCTCACGGTGTTAAGCTCCATGCTATAATTGATGCTTGTCATAGTGGCACTGTCCTGGATTTGCCCTTCCTTTGCAGAATGAACAGGTTAGCTGCCACATTAATTAAAGATTTTGATTAATTACTGTATCACTAGGAAAGTTGATGTTAGATGATGTAAAGGGATAGATAATCTCAAATGTTACTCAATTTTGGACAGTCAAATTTCAAGAATCTGAACAGCCTTATGATAAGTTTATGTTAGATGATTTTTAAAAAAAAAAAACAGATTAGCCCGAATTTGATTCATTTTTGTAGGGTCTTATTTGAAGAATTTCAATAGCCTTCTCCTAAGTTCATGTTAGATGATTAAAACGGACAGATCACATGACTGTTATTCATTTCTGTATTAGCGAGCATGGTGTCAGAATTTCATTGATCTTCTGAGTTTGCTCCGTCCCTACAGCTTCTGTCCCCTAGGGTGTTAAATAATGATAAACAAGCACATGATATTTAGTATTATCCATCCGTGTTTGTTAATGTCAGGATAGGTTCAAGAACTCATTTTGGCCATGCTGTTAGGATGTACAGTCACATATTGAGCATTCCACTCCTATTCTAATCCTTGCCAACACCTTACATGGTCTGCTCTTCATTTTAAAACATAATTATATGTTCTCGTGCTAAGAGCGGTTTTAATCCTTTCTTCTAACTAGTAAATATGTATTGGGAATAGGAGTGGGCAATATGTATGGGAGGACCATAGACCACGTTCCGGTCTGTGGACAGGAACAAATGGTGGAGAGGCAATATCCTTTAGTGGCTGTGATGATGACCAAACTTCTGCAGATACATCAGTAAGTGCTGGATCAAGGAAGCTACTGAGTAAATAGTCATTCTGTTATATGCTATATATCTAATATAGATCTCGAACTTCTTCTGGTATGTTACTGTTGATTCAGGCTTTGTCCAAAATAACGTCTACTGGTGCAATGACTTTTTGTTTCATCCAAGCGATTGAGCGCAGCCAGGGTACAACTTATGGGAGTATTCTCACTTCGATGCGTTCGGCCATTCGAGCTACTGGCAATAATGGCCTTGGTGGTGGGCCTGTCACTTCTGTCCTCACCATGCTTCTGACAGGTGGCAGCAGTCTTAGTGGTGGACTGAGACAGGTACGGTAGTTAGAGATTGTGAGAAAGAAATGTGTTTGTGAATTTAATCGTGTGCATACATCATATGTGCGCACTTTCCATCTCTAGGAATTGTTCATTCTTCAGCTTCTTAGCTAAGTTGGTTTGCTCCTGTCCACTTTGGATTTGTGTAGTGAGAGTTGGATATGGGCTTGGTACTTGTTCTTGAAACTGTTTAGATTTTCATGGTTTTAGAAATCCTGTTCAGCGGGAGAGATCATAATTTAACATCTTTGCGAAACTGGTTTGCTTCTGTCCGCTTTGGTTTTGTGTATTGAGAGCTGGATATGTGCTAGGTACTTATTCTTGGAAACTGGTTAGATTTACATGGTTTAGAAATCATTCTGCTCAGCTGGAGAGGTCATAACTTACATCTTAGCTAAATTGGTTTGCTTTGTCCACTTTGGTTTTGTGTATTGAGAGCTGGATAAGGGCTAGGTACTTACTCTTGAATCTGGTTAGATTTGCATGGTTATAGAACTCCACCTGTTCATCGGGAGAGATCATAATTTAGCATCTTACGGAGATCTCTAACCCTGGAGAGCTCTGTAAAAACAATAGGATTCTTTTATCTTTATGCCTGTTGGAACTATTCAATCTAGGAATCTTAAGAACTCCAGTGTTCAGACTGCTCCACTGCTGGCATAAGATATTTGCTGATTGCGTATTGTTTGGATGTGCTTTATCTTGCATTTTTGTACGTGATAGCAGTTGATGTTTAACCCCCTTTTCTGCTTTGTTTATAACGACAGGAGCCACAGTTAACTTCATGTCAGCCATTCGATGTGTACACCCGCCCTTTCTCTCTATGACATATTTTCATGTCTAAATTGAACTGTTATCACATTCGAGGGTTGTATGTTGACTCTCCCCCGTGTCACTCTTTCATTGTTCGTGAATGTGCATGTGATGTGTTTCAAGATGTAAGCTCGGTGTCCCACCAGAGTTGGTTTCTGGAGGAAAGTGGAAGGAAAATGGTAGAGAAGCTGAAGAAAAGGAGGAGCTGCAAAACGTCTGTACTGAATGGAGATCTCTGGAATTAGTCATCTCCTGAGCATGTCAAATGAATTATTTCTGGATATTACAGTTGTAAAAAATGAACTTGAGCTAATAAAATACACAAGACATTATTTGGAGGTCTATCAGTCGTTCTATTCTATTTGCCACGACCGAAAACATTAAAGGAAGTGGATGGTGGATGGTCATCAATACGATCTCAACTTATAAAACATACAGTTCGGGAGCACCTACACATTTTTACAACACAAAGTAATATCGGCCACTAAAAGGCTGGCAATTTGTTTGCGTTGGAAATGAAAACCTGTTAAACCCGCCCTTGTTTATCACAGATTTGAAAGTATTAACATTTTTCAAGAATGAATGATATTAAGCCACCGAGCTGATGGAGAAGGGAAGGAAAACCCTCCAGCGCCTCATTACATTTGGAAGCCAGAAAAAAGCCAGCCAGTTAAAGCCCCCGCCCGACCCCAACCCACATTCAAAAATTAACAACTTTCCCTACTACATACTCAAATTGAAGTACAACCCAAGAGCAGCAGGACTGACTAACAGACTGGAATTTCCCTTTCTCTAACAAACATACAACCCGACCCCGATGGCTCTCTTTCTCTCTCCCTGTACTTATATGATATGTTGTCTAAATAAATCTTTCTAGTATCCTTGATCTGCTGGGCTGTGGAGGCAAGAAATCCTCCAACCGTAAACTGGATCCAGATTTTACCTCATTCAACCCACTCTCCCCTTTTTCTGCTTCTATCATCTCCAAAGTGCTTCCAAGAACATCTCCAGCTAGCCCACTCTCCAGTAACTGCCCGGGTTCCTCCCCGCCTTCCTTCAATAACCGGCACAACTCCCTCAGGGGCACCACGTTTTGCACCACAACTCGTCCAAAGACGCGTCCCAGGAATTCTGCAGCTTTAGGGGCATCATTCACAGCATCCTCCAATGTACTTAGCACCGACTCGAAACTGCCAAAAATAAAGTATATGAAGTCAAAACCCAGCCTTACATTCCAAACTCAAATTTCACGACCAATCAGTAAGGCTGTGGGTCACAAGCATCTTACCCTTCAACAAGCTGGCCTGAAGTCAGTGCTCCCTCATGAGACCTTGCAAGGCTTACAATTAGCTTAGCTAGGAGGTCTCTCTCCATATCTTTCCTCTCAAAGGAATCTGTGACCCAGAGTGAGATCATTGAAGGATGAAACCCTGGAGAGTTCAAGTCTTTTATGCACAGGGCCACTTCTTTCTCATCTCGGGCACTAGAAATCATCAAAGCACAAATAATCAGTTACCTCGTCAGATAAGATAGCAGACCCAGTCAAACTACAACTTCTGCGTCAGCTGTTCAGCTTCAAAGAATGAAATCCAGATGGCAGAAACCATAATATCATGAACTGTAATCTCCAGTCCTGGCTGAAGAATGAGGCTGGAGAAGGGGAAACTTAAAAGAAGAGAAACGAGGAAAAGAAGGATTTCAAAGTTTTCATAAAGGCGACCAATGCAGAAAAATAATCTCCCCTGCCAATGAAAACGGCCACTATCCTTGATGTTATGAATTTCAACCAACAGCAAGGGCTGGCCAGACATGACAATACTGCCATAGTTGCCCAAGGACATCCCTCCACTTCTCAAGGATAGGCTTGTCAACACATTGTCATAGAAATTAGAGCCAAGTTACCACTGTTTATAGCACTGGGAGTGGAATACATAGAAGATGAGGCACTAATAATGTAATATAGTAGTTGGGTAAAAACCTTCAAATTGGCAGTTAACAAATAGAATAGTCGGGATCAGTATGGTTCAGATAACCCAGATAATTCTTCAAGTTAAATAAAATTCACAGCCAAAAAATAGCAGAGCTCTAGCTACTTAGCAGCAAGCAAACCTAATACCAATACTGAGTTAGTTCTGTGTGAGAAGAATGCAACACACAATGTTTTGAAGGTCAACACAAGGAAATAGGTTTGGAGGTAAACACAAGGAGGAAGGTGAGAAACCGTACCTGTAGAATTCTTTGATAGCTGCCATTGACATATCTCTTAGGCGCTCTTCCGGCCATGCATTTTCTGAAGCTGCATTATGGCTACCAACAGTAGCCTGAGGTGATATAGCATGAGATCTATCAGAATCATGATCCGTATTTCGAGCATCCCTGTTAACATAATTCACATTACGATCTTGAGGAGCTGATTGATCTAAAGCCGGAACGTTAGTTCTATCAGGAACATATCTCGGCACAAGATCTTCCGCTGGGGCATTAATAGGACGCTCAGACACACTGTTAAAACCATTCAAACGGGCCCCCACTCTTCTAGAATCACCTGGCGATGCAGCAATATCAGTCACTGGACTGGCTGTAATTGCCGCTGGAGGGCCTCTAACCGACATTCCTCTAGCAAGGCCTCCTTGTGGACCCAGAGTTATAGAGTCGTCGCCAAGAGGTCTTTGAGGCAAGGGAACTGATAGGGCCTTAGCCTCATAAGACTGTCTATCATCATTAGTATACCGAACATCCTGACTGGGGAATCCACGTGAACTGGGGAAACCATGAAAACTACCAATTTGAGAATTTGGCGAAGGGAGCGTAGACGACCCTCTGGGACCAAAATCCAATGTTCCCCTTCTCGCAGGAGTACTAGGATTGCGAGAACCCCTACCTCCTTGATGCTGTCGTTCCTGAGCAGCATCTCTGTGCACTTCATCGATCTTTTTCGGCCCTTCGACTTTCCTTCTTTGTTGCCATTTGTTCCTTCTAAGATCTATGGCATCCTTCAACATGAATCGAACCCTCGAGGACAGTTTCATGTTATTTGATAATTTTGACATCCTGTCAAAATAAGCATCCATATGCTCCTTTGCTTTCGGATGATCTATCATCTCGCCAATGGTGCTCATCAACTTACACAATGCTTCCACATCTTCCTCATCAGGATTCTGATACTGGCCCAACAACTTCTTGATGCACTCATGCATTATTCTCTCTGTCAACATTTTCTTCTTGTATAGCTCTCCTATCAACCGTATATTACCAAGCATTCTTCTTCGAGCATTCACCCTTCTTTCCTCCCTTGCCTCTGCAGACAGCTTGGTCTCACCCTCCTCGTCAGCTTTATTAGCTTCTTCTTGCTCTCTTTCTCCCCTCTCAAACTCTTCCTGACACTTATTCAGAAGTAATCTCTTAAATGTTATTTTTTCATTATCTTCAGTGAAATCAGGCAAATCCCCGGCCATATAATAACAAAAGTTGGCATACATTTCACAGAAGGTTGGCTCCATTAAAGCTTTGTCAAAAATCTGAGAGATAACACCTGTTAGAGTGACAGCATTATCAATGTTAACAGCCTTCACTTGCTCAAAAAGCTTCTCAAAATTTTGAGGCGTGAGCTTATTCAAAATGGCCTTCAATTGCCTCTGCTTGGCCTGTTCTTCATCTGTTACTTTGCCAACTTCATACTTTCTCTCAGCTTTGTGCATCACCTGCAATGGCGTCTGCGGAGAAGGAATTAATCCCTTCTGAAAATTGGTAGCACGCTGCCACCTGTCACCATCAGGGCTGTTCCTAGGTATTCCATGAGCACCCACTGATTGCATTGGCCCAGATAATATTCCTCCAGCATACTGCATGGGACTCTGTGCTCGTGGATTCCTCAAGACGCCAAAATTTCCAGCTTGACCAGGCCGGAAGTTCATATTTGCAGCATAACCTATATCCACACGCAAGTCTCTCCCTGAGCCGTGATGACCTGGTTGTTTGTTCCACCTGTCGTCGCCATCCATGTTTCCACCTCGCCGGTCCATTCTCGATCCACTGTTTGATCTATCGACAACCCTTCCAGAGCTAGGATATGCTTCACGATCAACGAGATGAGCTACATTGGGACTCATCAAGGCATCTGCTATATCTGCTGTAATTTCAAAACCCTCAGGAAGATCAGTACATTGTTCAGAAAATTTCAAGAGAAAGTCTCGGGAATATTTCTTGTCTATGTTCCCATTTCCATCCTGCTGCAACCAACCAGGCTGCTTCCCACTGTCAACACTTTCCAACTTTGGAGTGGAGATGTCAGCAGCATCTTCCCAGTCTTCGGGTTCAGGTTTATTTGATGCTCCTTTATCACTTGGTGTCAAACCCAATGGCAGCGCATCATCAGCAGTTGCTTCCTTTGTGCTAGAACTAGTGGGCAAGCCTGTTGTGGTTTCCGGACTTGCACTCTCTTTCTTTTCTTCAGGACCTTTATAAGCCATATAGAGGTCAGAAGTTGTGCCAGCTGCATCAGCCTTCTGAAGAATTTCTTTCCTCTTCTTCTTACCTTTACCAGCATTACTCTTCAATCGACTCAATTCATGGGTTTTTTCCACGTAACCAGATTGTCCATAGGACAAAATACCACCAGTGGCATAGTCGTCTCCTTCGTGCTTCAACACCGAGTCAGTAAGCTGATTCACTGTACTTGATATTACACAAGAATCTCCACTGTCAGTGGCTATATTGGTTTCGCTTACATTGACATAAGTTTCATCACCATCCAACTTCATAGCATCTGATGAACAGAAACTAGTGGATGAGGTAATATCCTTTGCATCTGCTTCCTTGGTAATTTCTGCATGGCAAGTCACCGGTTCATTCTGTACTTCCTTTACAGTTTCTACAGTAGGAACCTCATTGCCAGAACTCATCAATGCCAAATCTGATTTCTCCTGGGCATTATTAACGTCTGCATACTTTGAAGTGGCTGCTGATGACGGCACAGAACTGCTTTCATCCAATTTAGCAACATTATGTAATTCAT